TTTTTGTGCTTAGGTATTTTGTCCCATGCTTCTGAATTCAGTGAGGCCTCTTGTCACACAATCACCTAGAGAGCAAGGCACTGGAGAAATAGAAATAAGCAATTAAAATCCCGTTTGCTGCCCTAGGCTTGTTTTGAGTTCATTGTTCAGCAAATGAGCTAGTTCGAGTTTCACTTTCAGCAGTTCATTTGTTTGAACTTGGGACCAATAAAAGCAAGAGGCCAGATAAAGCAGGAGGAAATAGCTATGGCTTGGGAACGTAACTAAAACTGGTAGTAATACCAAATAATCTATAAAGTGACAGCTACTGGATGGCTTTATTTTCAAAAGTTTTAGATTATGGAATGTAGTAAAGGTCTAACTTTTGTCTGTTCTCATTACCCAGGCTATTTTTAATGAGTCAGTTCTCAGAACACAGTGTCTCCAATAACAACACTGTCTTTTCCTCCTTTCTTTAAGCAATCTGATAAATGACCCTAAGATGAAAATCTTCTGCCAAATCTTCATGTTTTCTTGGAACCCACTAATGGTGGTGAGCTCTGAAATTAAGGTGTGCTATTAATTGAAAAAAACATGAATGAATAGATCTTATTTGAGAAAGTGATATAGGACTAAGATATGTAACATTCTCATACCACAGCTTCTTTATAATGGCTCAGAAGAGCTACGTCACTTAAAATTTTGTTGAGAAGGAAATGTGGGAAGAAGATATGTAAGAAAAGACAACTTTAGATACTGCTAATCTCATGCTATTGGGAGAGTTTGTGAGAATAGGTATCCCTGTGAGATCTGACTATTTTATTTTAGTGTGATTCCAGACCTGGTTTCTTTTTTTCTGACAATAATATGTTCTTAAGTAAGGCTCATGATTTTATTTTAAACACAAAAGATGGCTATCGTAGCCAGCTACTGAGATGGCCCCAATGATACCCCACCTGCTGGGATTCACACCTTGGTAAACTCCCCTCCCCCAGTGAATAGGGATGACCTATGTAAACCCTGGGATTTGAAGAAATGACAGTGTGTGGCTTCCAAAGTTAGGTAATAAGAAAACACTGACACCTCCATCTTCCTCTTGAATCACTTACTCTGAGGGAAGACAGCTGCCATGCAGTAAGGGCATTCAAGCAGCCTAATGCAGAGGTTTATGTGGTAAGAGATTGAGGCTTTTGGTAATAAGCAGATGTGTGGGTCAATTTGGAAGTGTATACCTTCAGTCCCAGTTAAGCTTTCAGATGAATGCAGTGCCAGCTAACATCTTGACTGCAACCTCCTTAAAAACCCTGAGCCCAAACCTTTCAACTAAGTCTCTGTGAAATTCCTCACCTCAGAAATAAGTGAAATAATAAGCATTTGCTAATTTCTGGATTACACACTAATAGATATATACAATTGGTAAAAGGAATTATGTGATTAAATACTGAGAATTGTTATGGTCATTACTTTGAAAATACTTTCATAAATTCAAGTCCTCTAGCTTTATTTTTAATATACTGAATACTTCTTTGCAAGATCTTTTTTCTTGCTGTTTTATTCTCCTAGGATGCTCCTGCATCCTTTGCACTTGTCAAAATTCCACCTATTCAGTTGCTAAAATTCCAGATTCCCTCTCCATGCAACCATCTGCCCAGAGGCAAGCTCATGCCTCAGAACTCAGAACTCTAATAATGCCTCATTTATACCTTTTCTTATAACACATCATACATTATATTGTTTTTTTTTCTTGTCTTAACATAGCCAGATTAATATTCTTGAGGCCCCGGGCATCTCTTATTGGTCTTCTATTCATTGTGTTTACCAGTGTTGAGACTGCTGTAATGTAAAAAGTAGTCTCTGAAATGAGAGCAAACCTGGCTTTATTTTCAAAAGTTTTAGATTATGGAATGTAGTAAAGGTCTAACTTTTGTCTGTTCTCATTACCCAGGCTATTTTTAATGAGTCAGTTCTCAGAACACAGTGTCTCCAATAACAACACTGTCTTTTCCTCCTTTCTTTAAGCAGTGATCTGATAAATGACCCTAAGATGAAAATCTTCTGCCAAATCTTCATGTTTTCTTGGAACCCACTAATGGTGGTGAGCTCTGAAATTAAGGTGTGCTATTAATTGAAAAAAACATGAATGAATAGATCTTATTTGAGAAAGTGATATAGGACTAAGATATGTAACATTCTCATACCACAGCTTCTTTATAATGGCTCAGAAGAGCTACGTCACTTAAAATTTTGTTGAGAAGGAAATGTGGGAAGAAGATATGTAAGAAAAGACAACTTTAGATACTGCTAATCTCATGCTATTGGGAGAGTTTGTGAGAATAGGTATCCCTGTGAGATCTGACTATTTTATTTTAGTGTGATTCCAGACCTGGTTTCTTTTTTTCTGACAATAATATGTTCTTAAGTAAGGCTCATGATTTTATTTTAAACACAAAAGATGGCTATCGTAGCCAGCTACTGAGATGGCCCCAATGATACCCCACCTGCTGGGATTCACACCTTGGTAAACTCCCCTCCCCCAGTGAATAGGGATGACCTATGTAAACCCTGGGATTTGAAGAAATGACAGTGTGTGGCTTCCAAAGTTAGGTAATAAGAAAACACTGACACCTCCATCTTCCTCTTGAATCACTTACTCTGAGGGAAGACAGCTGCCATGCAGTAAGGGCATTCAAGCAGCCTAATGCAGAGGTTTATGTGGTAAGAGATTGAGGCTTTTGGTAATAAGCAGATGTGTGGGTCAATTTGGAAGTGTATACCTTCAGTCCCAGTTAAGCTTTCAGATGAATGCAGTGCCAGCTAACATCTTGACTGCAACCTCCTTAAAAACCCTGAGCCCAAACCTTTCAACTAAGTCTCTGTGAAATTCCTCACCTCAGAAATAAGTGAAATAATAAGCATTTGCTAATTTCTGGATTACACACTAATAGATATATACAATTGGTAAAAGGAATTATGTGATTAAATACTGAGAATTGTTATGGTCATTACTTTGAAAATACTTTCATAAATTCAAGTCCTCTAGCTTTATTTTTAATATACTGAATACTTCTTTGCAAGATCTTTTTTCTTGCTGTTTTATTCTCCTAGGATGCTCCTGCATCCTTTGCACTTGTCAAAATTCCACCTATTCAGTTGCTAAAATTCCAGATTCCCTCTCCATGCAACCATCTGCCCAGAGGCAAGCTCATGCCTCAGAACTCAGAACTCTAATAATGCCTCATTTATACCTTTTCTTATAACACATCATACATTATATTGTTTTTTTTCTTGTCTTAACATAGCCAGATTAATATTCTTGAGGCCCCGGGCATCTCTTATTGGTCTTCTATTCATTGTGTTTACCAGTGTTGAGACTGCTGTAATGTAAAAAGTAGTCTCTGAAATGAGAGCAAACCAAAAACAGGATTCAAATCCTTACTTATCATCTCAAATGAGAGTTGTCTTATCTATGAAATGAGTGTAGGAACAATGAAGTGTCAGAGTTATCATGAAGGGGTGATGGTGTAATTTAGGAAATGTACCTGGTACAGTTTTGGCATACTATAAGTGCTCAAAAAATAATTATAACATTGTGCCATTTTTACTTTCTGTTCATGTAGGATATAATAATATCTAATATATCTTGACTATTTCTTATGTATCAAGTTGTATTTTAGGCTTTTCATATTGATTATTTTATTTAACCTTCCCACAAAGGTTATACAATATCAGCACTCAAAGTGAAAAAATCAGAGCATAAAGATGTTAGAAAGCTTACCTGAAGTTATGAAACTAGTAAGTGGCAGTCTGAATTAGTAATAGCTGTTCTGAAACTGGTTTCTAGTGCCTAACCAATGTAAAATATTCCCTTGCCCTTAAATATGAGTTGAATATGTCAATTTACTGGACAAATGAAAGAAGTGTGATTTACTTGGATATTGTTTGTCTTTGTGAATCATTTATATTTTTTGTTTACTCAAATTAGGGAACAAATCCATATAGAAACAAACAAAAATATATGAGGACAGGGGCTACAAACATCTTTTACATATTTTTCTTTAGATAATTCACTCCTTTGTAAATTTAGAGTTGCCAGATAGAAACTCACAGAGAACCAGGATGGTCCTCAATTATGTAGGCATTTGTTTTTATTAAAAAGTGTGAAACTGTACCATCCACTCCATGACAGAACTCACTTGAAATGGAGTTGAGGAGTATGCCACAGTGGTTAGTAGCACAAAGTTAGTGCCAACAAAGTTGTATTGACAATCCATTTGTAAAACAAGGTAAATAATACCAATCCTATGTGGAATACTAGGTTCATTCAGTGAATGGTGATCTTCTTATTTCCACACTGCCCGTGGGCTCTGTCAGAATGGGAAAGGTTATGCTTCCATAACAAGAAACTCCAAAAGTCTAAGTGGCTTAAAAATAATAAAGGCTTGTTTCCACCTCACTCAAAGTCCTCTACAAGTTTTGGTGACTCCCTAAGTCACTTGCAGTCTGTGTTATTATTTAGTATTGCCCTTCCATATCAACATATGCTTTCAAAATTGCTGAGTTAGAGGAAGAAAAGTAAAGTCTCACACCAGCAATGAGAGGCTTCCACCTAGAAGCAGCACATGCCATTTCCATTTCCATTCCAACCTATGACCATGCTTAGCTTACAAAGGTAGGGATGATGTACAGTACTTTCAATACTGTGAAGGCTGACAACCAAAACTATTAGTGAGCAGCTTTATCAGTACTATGTCATTATTGTTTGATACATATGTATCCACAGGAAGATTTACTCTATCACTGATTCAAGGTAAAAATGGTTAGACTCTAGCTAATATTGATTTTAACTCATTTTCTTTTACCATACAGGTAGTTGTTCATTGTGTGTTTTGTTAATTAAAAGTGAATCATTTGCTATAAATTATTGTTATTTTAATGAGTAGAAAGTTACCTACTATATGTGTGTAAATATATGCACACACACACAATTATGATTTAATAGATGAGCTTCTAGATCTGCTTTTATTAATGGCTGTCCTTCGAGAGAGAGAGAGAAAACTTGCAAAGTCACATGCAGAGATTTTCTTGCCAAATGTCTATTGAAATCAGTTGGGTTGTCATGGATAGGTCCCTTCTGTGCTGGACCAAATCTTCACTCTTGCTTTGCTGTGTCAGAGAGCTCTATCCATGGCATAGAACAAACTGGAGAAGAAATTTAACATAGTATCTACTTGTCACTTTATTCATAAAATAAAATGAAAACATGTTCTATAGAGCATAACCTTTCAAATACGAGTTGAGTTCATTGTGGCTTCAAACAAGCAAACATACCAGCTGCATGTTAGTACTTTGACATCTTTAGAACAAGGTTTCATGGTATATTTAATATCTTCTTTTATTCTTATAAACTATAATGTCTTATCAGAATGAGCACTTGAAAGAGAATATCATACAACCACCAACTAGTATATCCTCAACCAATGCTATTCTCTCTTGTTCCCATGAAGTATGTGTTCTCAGCTCTTGAAAAGCCAAATCATCCCTCATCCTTCATATTGCTTTAACATTTGAGCGATGATGTATGACTTAGGTAAGATAAACACAAACATCAACAGACATTTAAATGTATGAGGTTACTTTACTTTGTATTTCATCCAGATAAAACACAGAATTTTATTTAGGTAGATTCCTTCTTTAAATAATATGAATTTTTTTTTTAGGAAACTTAAGCAACTTTTCATTTTTCAAGTAATAAGTATAATAAATAGTGATATGTATGTATTATATATTCACATAACATATACTATATATACATCAAATAATTACCTTATTAAAAACATATAGTGGATAAATTATAATTTTAAAAGAGATCAGTGTACTGTATATCCATTATGCATGACTTACTAGTTTCTAAATAGTACATTGTCATTAGGAGCAATGTGCAAAGTTGACAAATTAAGCTTTACTAATAGATATTAATGGCAAGACATTGTGAGTTACTCATGGTAATTTAAAAATGTTGTGGCTTTTGAACAGACTTTTTTTTTAAAGAATATTTTCAACACCCTGGTGTAAAGCTTCTGTAGGGTTATTTGACAGATGTCCTGTGAGTTCCTCCAAAGCAGGGGATAAAAGTGTAGTGCTCTAAACAAGAAAGTGTGAGCAGAATGGCTTTTGGGCATGTGGGTAGGGAGGCTGGCACTTTCTCAGTTCAGTTAGATGGAATTTTAAATTGTGAATTTGCACAGAGCTGAAAAAGACAGTCATGTGGAAGTTTGTTTTTATTCTTTAAGTGAATCCTGTCCTGACCTTGATACATTCATTCTGAGCTACTAATGTAGAATCTTCCTGTAATGTAAGATGTTGTGACACATATGTTCATGTAGAAACATGTTTCCTTCTCAGAAATGGGGGTACAGGGTATCTAAAACAATTTGCTTCAGCATGACCGAACTGACTTTCTGAAATACATGAGCTTTCTCAGATGCATGGGAATTGAATATTTTGGCTGATGATTTTAGTTTGAGTTAAGATGGAGAGCATATTCAACCAGACATCTCCCACTAATTATAATTAAAACTCCATATGAACACAACACATAAAGCAAATATCAGAAGACCCTAAGAGATGGAGAAGAGAAGATGAACTGGCTAGGGATTCCCCAGTAGGGTGTGTCCGAGAGATGGTATATACACCCTCGCCTGCGTCCTAAAGCAACCCACAATTCACTAACGTTAATGAGCATAGTCCAAAAAAAGAAAAGAAAGGGCCAGTTTTCCCTGGCCAAAGGACTAAAAACAGGGTATCCCTGAAGTACAGAAGACATTTTGACTATAAAGCCACTCCGGGAAAAAAAGTTTATTATGAAACTAAATATCCAAGTATACATTTATTATATAAATCAGCATTCTTATTCTTGGATATTTGCTCCAAAGTAATGAAAGTTGCTATTCACCCACCAAAAAACCTCAACATAATGAATGTTAATAGTAGCTTTATTTGTGATCAGTAAAAACTACTAACAACCAATAGTTAAAAGATATAAATGACTCTATGATGTTATTTTTATGTATATTTGGCCTTTACTTTTTTCATGGATCACAGGTTACAAAAATACCTGCAATCTCATGGGAGATAATTTTATTTTACTGGTAAATTAGTAAGCAGCATTATTGGAAAGTCAGTGTTCAAGTCTACCAAAAAAAAAGTAAAGAAAGAGAAACACTGAAACTAAGGTACTAAAATGTAACTAAAGTCATAATCCACCCTTTATAGTTTGAGCATCAATATCACTGTCCAGGACTATCCTTTGGGATAATAATATTAAATAATTAATAGTGCTATAAATATATCCTTTTTCCCCCATATTTCTTTTTATTGGACTTCCAAGAACATGCCAACTTAAAAGACTTTTTGGTAACAGTAGGTGTTTATTCAAAGCGCCAATACTAATAGCTTTATCCACAAAGTTCTGACAGGAACTGGGCACACATTATCATAAGTTAGAATTCTCTCCTTATAAAATAGCAGGTATGTGCTCTCTGAAAGTATCTGCTCACTATTTATAAATGAATCACAGCTCTTTTGTTATCTCAGTGTTGCTAGTTTTGAACTGATGAGGACATGTAGTTACTATATCCAAGCCCTGAGACCAGGTCCTGCCAGACATACTAAGAAATAACAGATATTACTGAGCCCTTCAAGGATTTTGCATTTTGGTTGGATAGATTAGCACCTGGAAAAGTTATTGGTACAAAGCAAATGCTTAAATCTATATTATTTTCCTTATGTTCTTTGAACTTGGGAAAGAACTTGTCACACTATACCTCTTCAACATGTATTTTTAACTGTATGTTAAAAGCAGGGTGGTTCCTATAATTAAAAGGATTTTATCAGTGAACAATGAAATTATTTTAGAGTGTTGAATTATAGCAACACTGCGATCAAAGACAGTTTCTGAAGGTGAAGAGCTAAAAAAGGTCACCACTTCTATGAATGCATAGTATCTGGTTAGTTTGTTAAAGTAACAGCCTTATTGCATTATATTATGGCTGTACTTTGCTGTATGTAATGGTACATTTTTCAACTTTAAAACACAGATTTGTTATAATTTGAGATTGAAAACTTCATCAACCTTTCAAAGTCAAATAACAACTGTGGATGAAATGCCAGAAGTTTACAAAATAAAGGCTTAGACAGGAGATTTTTCTAACTCTCCTCAAAAATCTCAGTTCAGAAATAAAAAATAAATACACTGTTGTTACATTCTTTAAAAAACTTACTTTATATGCACAGTAGCTCATCAGCTTCCAAACAGCTCAGAATATTTGGGCTTTCCTCTCACTGGAGACTTACTATGGATAAAGTTAGTTCATTGGGAAGTTAATTTGAGCCAAGGAAATAAAAACAGTTCTGTAGAATTCATTGCCTTCATTCAAAAAAAGTTATTACCTGCTATTTCCTGTGCAGGAGTATTGGAAAAGAATCACTAAATTACAACTACACATACATTTGAATTGATTTTAAAATAAACAGGATAAAAAGAGAGGCCTAAAGTCTCAACACCATGCTAGGGTGGGGTGAGGGAGAAACTGAAAAATCTATTTTATCTATTAAGATTATAATAAATCTTATTTTTGATTGTACACAGATACTCTATTCATTATGTAGAATAATCCAGTATCCCACAATTAAATGGTTAAACTATTCAGGCAAGAAATCTAATCTCCTGAGGTCTAACACAGAGCTGTTTATACAAAAAAATGTGCCATTTCTTGGATGGTTAATCAGGTACCCATAGTTCATTTTATACATTTTGCAAATACATTGTTTTTCTTATAAGAACATGATATTTGTTCATGTAAGTCTTTTGTCAAAATACCTCTAATGCCCCTTCCCTCCCATCTCATTCACAATAAGATCCCATATAAATCAGCCCTCACGCTCTCTACCAGCACACATTTCCCCCCATCTACTCCCAACTCAATTCCTACCAGTTTTCCCTGTGCTCCAGCCGCACACGGCCTCTCCAGTGTTCCTCAAACCTGATAAACCTGCTCTTGCTTGATGGCCTTGGCACTTGTTTTTCCGGTTGCCTACATGATCTTACCAAGTTATCAACATGTTTCAACTCCTGACTTCCTTCATGTCTCTTAAAATGCCCCATATCAGAGATTTTTCCCTAAGAGCTTCCAGAAAGGAAAGCAGCCTGATAACACATTGGCTTCAGTCTGATGAGAGCCATATCAGATTTCTGACCTGCAGGCCTGTTAAAATAATAAACTTGTGTTTATTTAAGCCACTAAATTTCTGGTAATTTGTTATGAAAGAAATAGAAAATAGGTGTGAGTTCCCAGACCAGTGGGTACATAGAGATGTCAGCAAGTGGCAAGCTCTTGAAGTTTTGTGGGACTTAATTTTTTTCTATTCTCTGGCACTTACTTGTCTTACCAAGGTTTCTAAAGTAGTTGCTACCTTCTCCTCTCCAAGTCCATAGAAGAGGATATCATCAATGTAGTGGACCAGTATGATATCCTGTGGACTGTAAACAATTGATTACCCTGCAAATAAGAGTGTGACACAACTGGAGAGCTGATATACTCTGAAGTAGGATTGTGAAGATGTACTGCTGTTCTATACAAGAAAAATAAAGATGCATCTAATTTTCTCTCCTAGTCAGTCAGAAAATAAATAAACAAATAAGTATCTACAAGCTCAATGGCTATATATCAGATATCAGAGGAATGTGTTGATTTATTAAGGAAGTGAAACTACATGTGGAAGGTCAGCTTGACATTGTAATCACCCATTGATTAAATTTATCCACATAGCAAAGTAAATAAGAATGGGTTCAAGGCATGAGAACCATGTTGCATATGAATTCTAACAAAGTCATCTACTTGAGGGGGTTTTTAAAAATCAGGAAGATAAGATGACCCATTGTGGTTCTTTTTTCTGTAACTGGTCATGTGGTCATGGTCATTATTTCTGACTATCTTTTCTGCACTACCCATCCCATCCCATATTCCCTTTGCTCTCAACAAGCACCCCCGCCGTATATTGGTTTCTTGCCTGGTGTGACGACATATTGGCCACCAATTTAGAGGCTATATAAAGTGTACAGAATCTGAGAATGCTATCCCAGACTTGTAAGCTATTGAGTCTCAGAAGGGGCTCTAACTGAATCTTCAGAAGCTCATTCCACAGTTCTCTCAGCTCAGCTGCTTTGGAGTGATGGAGAACATGGTAACATGTGTTAATCCTGGGAGTATTGCTGCACATCATTTTTTTTATAGACTTCCTTGGTCAGATAATAATTTATTGATCAAAAGCAACCACGTATGGAATAACATGACAATGACAAAGTCATTCTATAAACCTAAGGAAGGTGGTTTTGCAAAAATCAATGTGAGCAAGGAAGGCAAGTATTAATTCAGATTAGGTGTCTATTCCAGTGATAATGAAGTGCTGCCCTTCCTATGATGGAGACCTATGAGAGTGTGATGTAATCAACTTACCACCAGGTTCCTGGCTGACCCCCTGGGGAATGTACTCCATTGGACACTCAATGTGGATCACTTCTGTGGGAAGTTTGGGAATTCCACAGTGGCTGTAGCTAACATGGCCTTTGTAAGTGAAATTCTCTGTTACATGAGTTACTTTCAGGAGCAGCTGGTATACTTCACCAGAGCTGAACACACCTGATTCAGGACATGGAGAAGATAAAGAAGATCAGGTGAGAACTGAAGAATTTGTGGTTCTAGAAGCTGCCCCACCAAATAGATGAGCTAACAAATCAATGACAACATGCATGAGCTGCCACAGTGCCTGGCTTCTTTCACCAACCTTCAAAGATTAAGAAATGTGACTTCTCTTTCACTTCTATGCTTCTAGGTACCAAAGAAATGTGTCTTCTGCAGCCAATACTAACTAGAAAAATGGAATTCTGGGAAATATATTTCTGTGTTAAGTTGACAAATAGCAATATTTTACTAGCATTTTTCATACTTAATATGTTGCTTTCTCCTCCATTATTGTTTCCATAGAGAAAATAAGAAGGTGTGCCACCTGGACATAGAGATGATGGACTGAGTCCATTAAATGATGGCAATTTTCCTGGTAGATGGTAGAAATAAGGGACAACTTTAGGAATAGTTTTCTATTCACAGAAATGGCAAAGAGGGCCACTACTCATTAATAAGGTAGAGTAATACTCTTGGCCCTTGAGTAAAACCTAGGTTGTCTTCAGGCAACTATTATAGGGTGCTGTTTTTGGAAGAAACAAAAGCTTGATCTTCCCTAAAAGTCCTTGAATTTTATTACTTGACTATTGAAGTTTTCTCATTGCTATATTGGAGAATAGATTTTAGAGATCACTCAGAGTCTGAGACAGGAATTCTAATGCAATTAGTTATTGAGATAAAAATCATAGGAGAAGGGAAGTGAAAGGAGATGAACAGAGCAGGATAATAATACTAAGCAAGGGTGTAAACTCTGCTAAAGTCCCCCTTTGGCTGAACTGACAAGGAGTTCTGGAACACAAATGGAACTACAGAATTAGTTCCAGTTTGAGACAAAAAGGCCAGCCTTTTGTGCTCCAGTGAACTATTAGCTGTGGGGTTTAAAGTACTTGACAGTGGGCGGTATCTCATTTGGCCAAAGACAATTCCCTTTTGAAGGAGACAGAAGCAAATTCTTAGCAGTCAAAAGTAATAGTATTAAAACACACATACATCAAGCTTGTAAGGAGAATTAGGGTAAAGCACCAAGACAACATTCATATTTTACATGGTTCATACTATGTAGAAAAATACTTCTGGTTTCTGGTTCCCCAGAAAGTCACCACTTAGAATTCACCTCGATGTCCTAGCAATAAGTAAAAAGTGAAGAGATTTAAAAAATCAACAAGTTTCTTGGATCTGTAAAGGAGGAGAGAACATTGGGCAAATCACTGTCCCAAAGATTAGCAAGATAGGCAAATGCAGGGAGCTGCAGCTTACCAAGCAGAAGCTCAGCAGCAGAAATTGCCATGGGAACCACTGCCAAGATAGGAAAATATGAACTGTAATTGATGAATTGCTGGAGACAAGGCTGAGAGTTAAAAACTCCAGGGGAGCCCTCACAAATTGTGAGATTTACCACTAGGAGCTTGACCATTTTCCCACAATACATTTCAAAGAAAAATCCCCTCATGTTTCTCACAAAGAGAATAGAAAAAGAAACATTTTGAAATACATCAGCACAATCTGTTCCTAACAAGGCTTGCCTTCAGGGGAAACTAGTTAAGGAGAACTTAATTTGCTAGGGCATTATGATCACCTGACTGACCTGGGGGAACCGAAATACCCAGCATCTGTCCACTCTGGCCATCCTGTCCCACCTTGGCAGGAGGTGGGTGTACTGAGAAACACTGTCCAGAGGCTCTCTAATTACCAAGACCCAATCATAGGACTGTAGAACCTTTCTCTTTCCCTCGCTCCTCACTACCACATTACTTAAGGCCTACTTATAGCAGTTCCTTTTACCCAATACATCGTGTCTGTCTATTAGTAAAAACATGCAAGACATTCCAAAAGGAAAAAACAAAACACAATTTGAAGAGACAGAGCAAGCATTGGAACTGGATATGACAGGGATGTTACCATGATCAGACAGAGAATTTTAAATAACAATGATTAATCTACTAAGGGTTCTAATGGATAAAGTAGACAGCATGCCAAAACAGATGGTCAGTGTAAGCAGATAAATGGAGACACTAAGAAAGAACCAAAAAGAAATGTCAAATACAAAATACTATGACAGAAATGAAGAATGCCTTAATGGGCTTAGTAGTAGACTGGACATGAATGAGAAAAGAATCTCTGACCTAGTGGATGTATCAATAGCTCCCCAAAAACTGAAAGTGAAAAGAATAAAGACTGAAAAAAAATTATTATCTTCTAAGGACTGGGGACAACTACAAAAGGTGTACTATACACATAATGAGAATATGAGAGGGAGAAGAAAGAAAGGAATAGAAGACATCTTTGAAATGATAATCTGGAAGCTCTGAGAACACTAAGAAAAAAAATGCTAAGCAAACAAAAAGGAAACAAGAAACAAACAAACCACATTTAGGCATATCATTTTCAAACAACAGAAAATCAAAGTAAAGAAAAATCCTGAAGGAAGTCAAAGGAAAAAAACATCTTACCTGTAGAAGAACAAAGATAAGAATTAAGTCTGACTTATTCTCTGAAATCATTCAGACAAGAGAGTAGAGTGAAATATTGCAAATGTTGGGAAAATAAACACTACCAGCATAGAATTTTGTATCCTACAAAATTATCCTTCAAAAGTGAATGATAAATAAAAACTTTATCAGACACACAAAAATTGAGGAAATTTATTGCCAGTAGGCCTGCCTTGCAAGAAATGTTAAAAGAACATCTCTCTTTAGAGAGAAGGAATATACTATAGGTCAAAAACTCAAATATACGTTAAGTAAGAATAACACTGAAAAAGAAATAGGTGAAGGCAAAATAAAATTTTATTTTCTTATTCTTCATGTCCCTTAAGTTAGATTAAAGCTTTGCATAAAAATATGTCCAGTCCATCTTTGTCAAGTTGACAGAACCCCTCAAATATGTAGGACCCCAAACAAGTACTATGAGGTATGCTCTAAGTTTGGCAAATTCTGATGAGGTGCAGACGACAAAAAGTAAACAGCTTATTCCTTTGCACAAATGTAGAGTTCCGATCAACTGTTTGCTGCTTTGTTATGGTTGGGTAATGGTTTACCACTTTAGATAATGAAATGTCATAGGCATAAATCAAATCTTCACTTGTACCTAGGTATTTTGCTCCTGGTTTCATCTTGAGAATAATGACACCCTCAGGATTTCTTGATTTAGTTGTCTCCATTTTGAGGAACAGTGGATTTTTTTTTCCATCTTAAAGTTGAAAATATACTCTGGAACTCATAATTTCTAATAATGTAACATGAGCTGGGCTTCTAAGCTCAAATTTTTTTTGTTTTTGTTTTTTGTTACAGGGTATA